ACCGGAAGTCGTGAGCTGCTTGAGTCATATGTAAAAGAATCGTTTCTGGCCACTCCCCAGTGAATGGCGATCACAAAACTTTCCTCACTTGCGTGAACTCCTACACATGACAGCATCCTCTTTGAAGACTTTGGGTCATTTCTCTTTCTTCTTCATTGGAGTAGACACCGCTTAAGCGATTATAACCGAGTTAACAACTGCGCGCCAGTCGTTTCTTCTTTTTTCATTTTGTGACAATTGGAGATCCCAAGCGAAGCCAGGTCATTCTCTATCTGGTCTTTCCAACGGAGTGAAAATTTTCAGAGCTGGAGTGTTTTCGTCCATTCGGCTGATATGATCTAGCCAGCGAGGACGTTGTCTTTTAATTTTCTAAAGTAAGGCAATTTCTATAATATATAATATGTGTACATATGTATGTCATATAGCACATCAACCGTCCTCTCGAAAACTCGTAACGTCGACCATCAGATGCTATCATCGTCCATGGCTCTGCACCATATAGCAGGACGGTAATAATGAGTGACTTATAGAGTTTGGTTGTTGTTCATCGATAGAGAACTTTACTTCTGAATTGCCTACTCAGTCCGAAGTAGCACCTGTTAGCAAGAGTTACTCTGTATTTTTCGGGGCTGATATTGTTGTTGGAGTTGATACTGTTCCAATATAGACAAATTATTCATGACTTCGAAGTTATGACTTTCAACAGTGACGTCGGAGCCTAGTAGCGAGTGCGACGACCGTTTGTTTGATGACAGGAGATATTTCGTCTTGCCCTTGTTCACCATTAGATCCATTTGTTTCGCTTCTTTATTCAATCTGGAGTAAGCAGAACTAACAGCGCGGTTGTTCAGGCCAATGATATTGAGTTCATCGGCGCACGCCAGCATTGTACACCCTTAATCGAGTATTATTTTCTCCAAGAGCAGATTAAAGAAGTCGCACGAAAAGGAGTCGAATTGTTTGAAACCTCGTTTGGCATTGAACGGCTGGGAGGGTTCCTTCCCGATCCTGACGGAGGTTTTGATATTGCTCAACGTCAGTTTACACAGCCCTATTGGTTTTGCTGAGATACCAAATGCAGACGTGGCGGCGTAAAGCCCGCTCCTTTTTTATGTGAAAGTTTAGTTTTCGTAAGTTTATTTCTATAAGTATTCTAATTTAAAACTCGATTTATCCATATAGTTACGTTTCATCCTGGGTACTTAAAAAAAGCAAATGGTTTTTTATTTATTACCGCTTGCTTTGATTATGCAGTCTTGCCAATTAAAAAGTCTTGCACATTAATTGTGAAATTTTCACTAAAATTTGGAATCATACACATTTACATACAGGGGACTCGTATACTTTCATAAAGATATGCATAAGTCATAAATAAAAATTAAAAAAAAAAATGCTTGCCAACACCTCGTTATAAATTTGTTGTGGTTAATTAAATTGTTAACAATTATTAATCAGCTTATTGAAAAAAGTATTATAATATTTACAAAATAAGTATATCGCAGACAAAATGCCGAGAAGAAGTGAAAATTTTAAGATAATGAATGAACTTTTTTATTCACGAAGACGCCAATATGCTATTAAAATGCAAGCTGTTTGTGACTTTAGATAAATAATTATACAAGCCACAGTAGGATACCTTAGAAGTATTCATGACGCCAAAATATTCTTATAGTCCTCTTGCAAAACATCCTCAACGATTTTTATCTAACTTGCAGTATGTTGCTGGAGATAGCGCTAATTCACTCAAGCAATTTTTATGACACCGTTCAGGCAAAATAGTACGGAATACAGTGCGGAAGAGAGAAAAAGTTTCAACAAGTACTTTTCAAAACAACGTTTACGAATTGGGAATTGTTTCGGCATTTTAAAAGAAAAATTCGGTAGCTTGAAGAAATTGAGGTTTAGAATGATAAAAAAGAAATGCAATGAGTAGATTATGGTATGATGCGCTTTCCATAATATGCTAATCAATTTCCATATTGCAAACGAAGAACGCTTTACCTACCTCGATATGCCTTACCACCAGGAAGTAACCCAAAAAGTACTTTTCTAGGCGCGGAACTGAAAGTTGACGAAGAAACCCCAAGAATCTGAATCTTGCTCACAAACAAAGCACGAAAATTTCTGCGTGGGAACTTACGAAGAATACTATGGGGTCTAAGTGTACATTCGTCTGTTAGATACAATCGGCGAAGATTTGATGACGCACTTTTTTAGAGAAGTAGTGGAGGGATTTCAACTGAGTTTGCTGCTTCCAGAAAAAGTATGTGCTTTGAAAACCAAAGAAATCGAAAATATTGACTATCAAGGCAGATAGATTAAAAGGCCTTTTTTATAACGACAACGTCTAGTGAGATTTGAAGCTCATAGGTGAACTTGATCAGTGGCAGTGCCATTTTTTTTTTTTTTTGTCATCCTAATTATTCACATATATACAAGTATGTATGTATAAGTCTATATCTATCTTGATTAGTTTTAGATGATACTTACCATCATTGGATGAACAAAACTATAATACTCTGTAGCAACAGGTTGCAAGGGTATAACAAATCAACTCAAAAGCAAACTGAAATCCGCTGCTCAGTTTTAACGAACCAAATATATATTGTTCAAGAGTTGTATTTGGGTAAACTTATTTTTTATGCAGTCCAAAAACAAATCTTTTAAACTGGAATAAAAGTTATGATTTTATGATTTTACGAGGAGTTATGACAACATGTGAGTCGCTAATAATAGCTGCATATATACTTTTGTAAACAGTGATATCAATCAGTTAATGCAATTTTGGCTTCAACAACATTACATGAGGAACTTACAGCAAGAGAAAATGATTGAAGCCGATAAGTGCCTATGGTGCAAGAGTTCACGCACTTCATTATGGGGAAATGTCGATCGCATGCTTTTAACATTTATAATACTATACCAAACACCTCGCACGCATACATATGTAGCACATAACGCTGTCCCAGAGTTTATACATATTATTTATATACTTTATGCACTGAACTGATATCGTCTTAACGTACATATGTTTCTGTGGCCAGCAGAATGAAGTTGCTTTTACCCACTAATTGCATTATTTATGTTATGTACACATTATCAATTCAGGGTTTTCCGAAATTAATATTGTCTCACTTGCCACACATGACTTTCCGTGGGGCTTACCCATTTTTTCAAAGATGCCTGCTCCATAATTTATTTTAATTGCGTTAATTTGAGCTTTTTGATTTGTGGTCTACGCCTGATAAGCTTGATGCTTGTTTTAACTGATTGGAGGTTTGTATTTCCTCTCCATCTTTAAGATTCGTAAAAAAAAAAAAAGAATAAATTAAAAATGCCAAAGCTAAACAAATTTTTTTGCTATAATAATTTTTATTCGAATTGACTTTTCTTTTTCGAAATGATAGTATTCCTGTTGTAGATGTGTGTTGTTGAGGTGGGCCTATGGGTGTGTCGTCTGTTCATCGTTATACCGGTATGAAAGCGATGTAGCTAAAATGGTTTGAGGGTCGGGATAGATAATTAATGCTACTAGCATCCAGGGCTGTGACACAGTACTTTTATGAATAAAGATCACAGATTAATAGAGAATACTTTTTAAAAGTAGTACTTTTTGAATACATACATACATAAGTACTACATTGAATTATATTTCAATATCTAGGTATGAAAAACTATTTGCACTCTATTTTTTAGAACAATTAATCGTAAACACGTTTTTGTAAAAATTTCTCGAAAATCAACAATTCTGATATAAACTTTTCGACCTTCAGAAGAAATACTATAAACCTGTTGTTTTGTACACAGCTCTTTTAACTGGTGTTAATACAAAATTTTGTTCAATAATTATAATTGTTTACTTATTAATAATAATGTCGTTCAAATAAACAAAATCCAAAAAGCGTTACAAAAAAAAATTTCGTCAAGGTCGCAGTACGCATAACGCTACCATGACGGAAACGAATATTTTAACTAACTAGAAGCATGCCACCTGTTTAACAGTTTTAAGTAAAAACAATTTACAACTGAGCCATTACAATGTGGGTAAAAAAATATTTCACAAGTTTTATTATAAAAAATATTTTTGAGACATTGGTTTAAAATATTTTATTCAATAATATATGTAAAAGAAAACTTACCATAAATATTACTAAGCTAAACAGATTTAAGAAACATTTATAGTATGCCGGAGATATATAATATTTAAGAGGAGTTGCCACTAGTTGAAAATTTGTAAGCCAAACAAACTCATAAAAAAAAAATTAAATATTACAATGGGTCGGCTTTAGTATACAGTCCCAAAATTTCGGGAATAAATGTATGGTCGGATAGAGGAGATTCTCCAGATCAAGAATATATTATAGCCGCAGGAAGCTTATAGTTTTCGAGACATTCGCGTTTAGAATTAAAAATCTCCTCTATCCTATCCGACCCGAAATCCTGGGACGGTAAACTAAAGTCTTCCCATTACAATATCGACATCAGAAAGGAAATAACTTCGAAATAACTGCCCAACAGTTTATTTATTTCAGGGCTAAAGTATTCAAAATGATGAAATAAAAAGTATTTAAAATAGCAAGTTTTTAAACTTTGAATATTATGGGTTGATTTTGATATAATGTTCTTTACATAGTAGGTTAGTGTTCATTCTCAATATTTTAGAAAGGACGACATATTCATATTTTAGTTAATAACTCACATATTTAAAAATAACACTTTGGCTTATTTATTTGCTTTAATAAAGATATCACAATCTGTGTAAATCTATTTTCCACCACCTCCTCCTCCACCACCGCCTTGCCCACCTCCACCGCCGCCGCCTCCGCCTCCGCCACCTCCACCAACCCAAGGGCCACAGCAGCCACCTCTATGAGCTTTCGGACTTGGATGAGCTAAGGAAAAATATTATTTCACTACTACACAAATTATATATATATATATTATATATAGATATATATATACTCACCAATAGCTTTTGCTAATATAATCAGCGCAATAGCTAGAAACACTTGGATCTTCATATTGTTAGTTATAATGTCGAACCAATTAATTGGCCCTTGTATTTATACCAAAACTTTGTGGTTTCGAAAATTCAACTTTCGTACACTAGAAAAAATTGGTGAATGGAAATAAAATTATAATTATTCCTATTTAGCTTGTTTTTCTTATCATGACTCCCTTATAATGGAAAATATAATGATATAAAATTATTCTCTTTATTTCTATACTTAAGATGATTCGTTGAGATTCTTATGCAAAACTCGGTATCCATGGAAAGCATTTAACACTTCCAATTTTTAATTAGTCAAAATGTTTATTTTTAGTTTTAAATGAAATTTCGCTTAGTGTATTCAAGCAAGAATATTAAGTTACGTTGTATTCAAGTAATGCTGGATTAACGCAGTATTTATATTAATGCAGTCAACAGTATATGTTTAATAGTTATAGCATACATATGGATGTAGGTAGATACATATATAGAGCCCCAGATCAATTGCACGTTCAAAATCTAAACTGAAATCATAGCAAAAATTCCCGATATTATAGACTTCTTTATAACAATATAGATTTCTTTACAAAATGTTAAAATGGAGGACAGCTTTGAGTTTAGCTTAGATCATTATGATAATGTATCTATGTATCTAGCATTCTTCCGCAGTAAGTTTACAGATTGGAGATTCTTCAGAAAACGGCAGCTGAAAATATTCAAAGCTGTAGGTAAATAGCTGAAAACTAACAGTTTCAAATATATATCTGTTATCTGATATATGAAAAAAACACAAAATATTCTCTGTAGTAACATACTGGTACATTGAAATGACCAACTTTGACTAATCCTCATTTTAAACGTGAATGTGATGCAGACAAATCAGAAGAATTTTCCGACCATCTGGCTGAAGTTGATCATGCACATGGTTTTGAAGTACTACAAGAAGCACATTACTGTCCTTTTCTTTACTTTATACGATATCCAAAATTGAAAAAAAAACAAGACTTTAACTTCCGCTGCACCGAAGCTAATATACCCTTCACAGGTGCATTTCTTTTAGTAACTATGTGTTCAGTTTGTATGGAAGCTATACGCTATAGTAATCCGTTCTGAATAATTTTTTCGGAGGTTATGTTATTACCTTAAGCAGTAATTCATGTCAAATTTCGTGAAGATACCACGTCAAATGCGAAAGCTTTCCATATAAGCCATTGATTCCGATCGGTTTGTATGGAAGCTATATGTTATAGTTAACCGATCTGAAAAATTTCTTCGGAGATTACATTGTTGCCTTAAAAAATAGTCTATACTAAATTTCGTAAATATATCTTGTCAAATGTGAAAATTTTCAATACAAGAACTTAATTCCGATCGTTCAGTTTGTATGGCAGCTATATGTTATAGTGGTCCGATATCGGCAGTTCCGACAAATGAGCAGCCACTTAAAGAGAAAATGACGTTTGCAAAATTTCAAAACGATATCTTAAAAACTGAGGGACTAATTCGTATATATACACACAGACGGACGAGGCTAAATCGACTCAGCTCGTATCCGACCCTTCCTTCTAAGTGTTACAAACTTCGTGACAAACCCTGTTCAGGGTATAAAAATTATACCTATGATGCCTCACACAATTGTAACAAACCATTAATTTGGCTTCAGAACTGATAGGGTACATAGTATTAAAAATATTGTCGAAAACTGACTAGAACTAAAAAAGGTCTGCTCTACAGTCTGACTGCATAATTCTCAGACATTCGATAAAGTGTGACATGCTGGCTTACTATATAAAGTACAAAATCATTCTCCTCATGCTGTATAGTTAATGATTTAAGCGTATCCAACTAGGTACCATTCTAGAACTTCAAGTGCACTCTAGGTTATGATCTACGCAAGTGACATCCCAACCATTGCTAAAGCTACAATATCAACATTTGCTGATGATACTGTTTTTCCATCCGTATTAGATAAAGCAAGTGAATCAACGAAAAATTACAATAAACAGTCAATGAAGTTCCATTGTGGATCAAAAATTGGCATATATTACTAAATAATACGAAATCTGTCACATCGACTTTATTAATAAGACAATACGCTTTTGCCTCTCCACATAAATGAGATACAGAACCATACAAGGACGTAACCAAAATTTCTTTTTCAGACGTTTCTTTCTAGGTGTTATAAAGTTCATAGCTAATTTAATATACCCTGTTCATAGTATAACATGAAAAGAAAAGTTCAGTAAAAAAATTATTGAAGGAATGCAAGAGTAGACTGTTTTCGATGATTATCTATGCGCGGCCATCAAAATCAACTGATGATCAACACGTCAATAAAATCAAATAATTGGTGTTTGGGAACCGACGATCAGCAGTTAGAGATCTTACTGGAATCGTTCGAATTTCGGAAGGATCAGTGATAATCATTTTGAAAGATTATTCGGATCTAAGGAAAGTTGAAGGACGAATCTCTCATATTTTTAGAAAAACAGTGGTGATGAGTCATTAATCTATGCTTACAAAACAAAACAGATTACCGCAACAAAGGTGAGCAAAAGTCGAAAGAACCTCTCCATGCAAGTCAAACATCCAGATTATGTTGACAGTTTTATTCGATTATCGAGGTGTGGTGCACTCCAAATTCCGTCCGACTTTCCGACCGGCCAACCTGTCAACAAGGATTACTATCTGAGTGTGAGGGCTATTCCGGAAATTGACTTTGACAACTGTTTCGAGCATTGGAAAAAGGTCCAAGGGTTAATACTTACAGGGGGACGACATAGATTTTGAAGAATAAATTAAGAATTTTAAAATTATGAACAAAGTCCTATTATTTTTTACCGAAATACATTTGTACATATGTATGTTACCTTATTCCATGATGTACGCCAGATAAGCAAATAATCTCGAATTCATTCACATCACGGATTCAAGTGTATGTACTTGTATGTTTACATTATTTATTTTATGTTATCTATACGTTCATGCATATTTACATTTATATATATATGTATATACAAATAAACATATACATATATTAACAAGTGTTCACATAGTAATTTCACTCACGGTAAGGCACAGTAAAGCTATCATGGTGTATCAACAAACTATAAAAGGCATGGCTTCTGGCTCAGCTTGCTATTCAATACTCTGATTCTCACTCGAATGCCATAATAAAGAAGCTGCCGTTGAGTAAGCAAAATGCAATCGATATTTCACTTCGTAATGCTTTTATTGGCAATGATTGCTCTGTTGAGCGGTAAGAATATTTTCTTTTCTATTATTAATTGTAAAATTATGAAATTTTATTTCATATACATAGGTTTTGCGATAGCCCAAGGAGGTGGCAACCCAGGAGCTCCCGGCGCACCACCTGGTGGACCAGGCGCACCAGGCAATCCTGGAGGTCGAAGATTTTAATAAAAATGTATATATACCTGTTTTAAGTTAAAGTACATACATACATATAATATATAAACATGAAATAATCGATACATACACATACTATGTATAAATTATTATTAAAATATATATATATTATATATAAAATATATATATTTATTTGAGTTGGAGATATCCTGTCTCTTATACACATCTAGATGTGTATAAGAGACAGACTTATTTGAGTTGGAGATATCCGTTGTAAATCGATATACAAAATCACAGTCGAGGTTGAATGGTTTAAACAAAAAAGGTAGAAGATTATTTGGAATTTTAAGTAAAAATAATAATAAGACAAAATTACCAAACTGAAGAGGTTTAGGAACGCTTGTAGCAGGCCTAAGAAAACTTACTCAAATTCAAAATAACAAACACTTTTGCTGCATCATTGCAACCAAGCATTTTATACTCTTGCAACTTGTAGAAAGCCAGGGAAATACCTTGATAAATTGACTTTGCCGAAAAAGCCATTTGTTCTGTTTTTTTTTAAGTCCTGTTTGCTTTGGAACACACCTTGTATGAGCATGTCACATTCTATAACAATATTGGGTAGTCGAAAAAGTTTTCTTATTTTGTTGTTTCTTATTTTGTTAATAGATGTTGTTACAGTCGTATCGTGCTACGAATCACATTGTGTCATATCACATAGTACTGGAAATGTGAGTTTTTAAGCTTCATTAAACCAAAAAAATTAAATACGGGGTTGAAAAAAGTTACAGCTGTTCAGAAATGAGTGGAAGTTATGAATAAATTCGCTATATTTTAAAATTTTTGTATAAATAAGAGAAGAATGCCATGCAAGCCGCAAATGAAATTTGTGAATTTTACGAAGACGATGCTGTATCAGTTCGTGTAGCACAGCAATAGTTCGCTTGAAAGATGCACCTCGCTCTGGTCGATCTATTGTTGAAAAAATCGATGAAAATTGTGAAAAATTTAATGGACTGAATTAAAATCTGCGATGCTTTGCTGAAACGATTGAAATCCAACTATTTCTGAAGCAAATTGTAATAGAAGAGAAAAGAGATCATGCTCTAAGAATGTTGAAGCTGAACAAAGGGTCGCACAGCCAGGAGTAAACTTGGCTGGGAAGAGAGATTTATTGAATAATGTCTCTAGCGGAAAATTGCAAAAAATCGACCAAAATGAGACATGTTTGGTTCATTGAAATTCATTATATAAATAATAATTTGAAGACGATTAGAACTACGAAAATACTTTTTGACCACCCAATATGCAAAGAGTTTAATTTAAGTACCTAACATACAATCACCAATCACATGGAGTAAAATTAGCTGGGTGTTTAAATATTCTACTAATAGTTATTCGAACTCTTAAGTTAAGTTTGCGCTCATTTATATCTACTATAATTCATGCACAAACACACATACACTGTTATGAGTAAAATACTCACCCGGAAGTTCAAAAATCTTTATATTAGGTATTTGGGGGCTCAGGGAAGTATTCACCCGCTTCAACCCATTTTTGATACACAGAATTAATATTGTCAGGAAAAGATTCCTTCTGAATTTCAATTATATCTCTTACACATCAACCGATATTTTCGGTACCTATAGGCTTGGAAATTTTTGTTTTTGATCATAAGGTGGCATACTTTTAAGGAATTGTTAGTGTAAAATATCCATTATCCCGTTATATTAGTTACTTCCTGATTTGCGTATTGGAAAATTAAAGAATGAAATGAAATTTACAACAAGAAAAAACGTTAACTTCGGCTGCACCTGAGCTAATATACCCTTCACAGGTGCATTTCTCTTAGTAGCTTTGTGTCCAGTTTGTATAGAAGCTATAAACTATAGTGAGCCGATCTGAACAATTTCTCCTGATATTACATTGTTATCTTAGAAAATGACCTG